ACTTCGGATGCACTGCTTGGAATCACTAACGTAGCAGAGAGGAGAGAGAGAACAGAACCAAGTGAACCAAGCAGCGAAGCCAGGAATCATGACCTGATCGCCGATCGGGACTAGAACTCCGTAGATCCGAATTAGAACGTAATCCTAGTCGTCACTTCTGATCTTTGGGCTAGGACGAGGATGTGACCTCTGTGCCGCTACAGAGCTTCTAATTAGACGGCTCGTGGCGCCTTTAGTTTTTTTTATGTTGCCCCTGACCAGTAGTCAGTGACCGCGTCTGTTGAACAAACTTTGTTCACGATCGAGAGGTTGCCCCTGTAGCTACTGTAGGATTTGCGGCGGACTCCGACAGCTCCTTCGCTAGCTCGGATGCTGATATCATCAGGATATTTGCTGACTTTCAATATGATTCTCGGCATGGATTGTCCCTGCCTCAGTAAATCGACAAATGAGATTATATTACTCGGCTACATCATGAGGACCCGAGGTTCGATCGCGAGATCGAAAAACTTCCTTGTGGTGGCCTGAGATTCAGGCCCTGAATACAGCTCAGCAAATGCAAGAGTAGTGGTCCCATTTTCACTCTGTCGCATTCACTATCCGATTTGCCCTTGCAGCTTCCTACCAGAATGACAGTAGAGAACCAACAGAATAGCGTCTTGAAGACGTTGCTCATCATTCCGAGATTTTCATTGGACCGGAAGAGGTGCTCGATGGGTCTCTTTAATTGACATTGCAATCTCGTGGACGCTAGGCGAATCGAGATTGTGCACTATTTTGACTTGCTTTCCAATGTCGTGGATGACAAAAGTTTTCTCTCGTACTGTGAAGCACCCTCCGCTAGCCCACATGACAGTGCAGTAGTTCAATAGAGAGACAAGGCAGTTCAGACCCGACACGCAAGCTGGCGCAATATGATAGGATGCAGAGAAGAGAAGCCGTCCTGCGTCGCAGTCTTTCTACGAACGAGGTTCCGGAGAGTGGATAATGAGATGAGCGATCCATCTCGACGAGACGAAGACAATAGTTTGCGGCACCCAAACTCCATAATCTTCTTGAATGTGGTTGTCTTACGGCGTGATGTGCCTCTGAACTCGACGTAAGAAGAGGAGAGGGAAAGAGAGAGGCAAGGGGAACCGCCGTATAGCTAATGAGATGCACGCATACACATGCGCGTAAATGCGAAGCTGTCTCCTTCTTAGACTACACGCCCTCCTCCTTCGAGATATGAATAAAAATAGTCATATAGTGAAATTCGTTTGTAACGATGGAGGGATGCGTCGCATGTGATGTAGATGGACGTTGATTTTGACGCTTAACTCCAAAAATCAAAGCAGATATAGTTATAAGAATGAACGCAGGTTCGAAAGGCATTTCAGACTCCTTGGCCTTAGGGAACTTGCGGATGAGCCAGACTTCATTGGTCTTGAGCAAGTTTGTAAACAGACGGGGATGTTGAATTCGAAGAACCTGTAGCGGGAGCCGGTCGATAAATAGTTGGTAACTGGGGGAAGATCCATGGCTGTGAAAGTGAAAATTACTTCATGTGGACTGTACATCATATACTGTGATATTGAGTATTTGCTGATTAACTTGCAGACACCATGTATGAGAGCATCTAACTCTGCCAACTTGATATGCCGATTATTATCTAAACGGCGCAATTCCGTTGAATCTCCTATATAAGTTAAGCCAACAACTATAGCAGTCCCGTAGACATGATCGTTTGTATAAATCACGGGATGGTTTAAACCTACCAGGGATCTTAATTGGCTCTCGTTGAATCTAGGAGGGCTCTGAGCTGAATATTAACTGTAGTCCTCGTAACTTATAAGATGATGGTATAGTAGCCAGACCTACTGGATCAGCTGTTAATGATGTTCCGTTATACGAGTAGTACGAAGTTTTGGTTTTGAATGCCCAAATTCTGAAGTTCAGCGGGCTACCGATCATTTGGTTTTTTCTGGCCGTCAGAAATCTGGGCGTGAGTGGGTTGCCTTTACTTATTTCCTGTCCACAGCAACAAGACCGATCTTGTGCTGGTTTCGAAGGTGAGTGAGAGATCATCACCAACAATGGTAAGTCCTCATCAATCAAGTTCTCTCATTCAATCAGATATACAGGCGCTTTCGAGTGTCACTGCTATCTTCAAGACCCACTTCGATTCAGAATCGGCTAGTATGGATTTTGATAAGGCCGCTGAGAAGATCTGGGGAGGTTGCGACAGTTATGCCATCGTCAAGACCAAACCTGGTGATGGACAGTCCAGAAACCACACCTCCAACAATTTCAACCGAGAATAACAACATCGTGCATTCACATCGTGCAAAGAATCCACCAGAGTATGCTGAAGGAAGTATAACTCGGTAAATACGTATAACTTATAAAGGTATATCAATCATACTGTAGTACAAATCGAACGTCTCTCTATTCGATGTTTCCTGAAACAACGAAGATAAGATGGCACGAGACGAGCGATGATGTGGCAAAGAAGATTATCTATGTAACAGGTCCACCCATATCACACGCGAATCATGAACCATCTTAATTGAACTGCCAAAGTCTTATTCAGGGGACTGTGTAGTTTGCGAACTACTCAGAAGTTGTGTTCGATTCTACCACCTAAGACAACGTCACATGGGTGCTCTGTAACACTTGCCAGAATGAACCTATCTCCTGATGACGAGCTTGGCTTTGTCCCTCGTGAGGCATCCCTACCATCATGATCGTCGATCGCTACTTGACCACAGCAGGCCTGCGACACGCAAGCTGGAGCAATATAATAGGACGCAGAGGAGAGAAGCCGTCCTGCGTCGCTCTACGAACGAGGCTCCAGAGAGTGGATATTGAGATGAGCGATCCATCTCGACGAGACGAAGACAATAGTTTGCGGCGCCCAAACTCCATAATCTTCGCGAATGCGGTTTTCCTACGGCGTGACGTGTCTCTGAACTCGACGTAAGGAGAGGAGAGGGAAAGAGAGAGGCAAGGGGAACCGCCGTATAGCTAATGAGATGCCCGCATACACATGCGCGTAAATGCGAAGCTGTCTCCTTCTTAGCCTACATAGACTACACGCCCTCCTCCTCCGAGAGATGAATAAAAATAGAGTCCTATAGTGAAAGTCGTTTGTAACGATGGAGGGATGCGTCGCATGTGATGTAGATGGAGTAGTACTCTACAACGTTGATTTTGACGCTTAACTCCAAAAATCGAAGAAGATATAGTTTTGAGAATGAACGCAGGTTCGAAAGGCATTTCAGACTCCTTGGCCTTAGAGAACTTGCGGATGAGCCAGACTTCATTGGTCTTGAGCAAGTTTGTAAATTGACGGGGATGTTGAATTCGAAGCTGTAGCGGGAGCCGGTCAATAAATAGTTGGTAACTGGGGGAAGATCCATTGCTGGTAAGTGAAGATTACTTCATGTTACATCCCGAAGGTACTGTGTTATAATATTAAGTGGCCCAATGGATAAAATTTTTGAATTGTTGGAATGTAAGATGCATAGTAATACTGCATCTAATACGTTCGTCTAATATTCGATGAGTACGTTCAATTTTCCCGTTCACCCATGAGCTGCATGCTGGTGAAGCAGTAACAACGCAGTTAATGCGCTTCAACTCAGCGGTAAACGCTGTAGAGTTAAAGTACATACCTGCATCACTGCGAGCCTTCTCCGCTACTGTGTTAAAAACTCAAACACAGAGCTCAAAACGTCAAGACCGTTTTGAGTATAAGGGAGATAACAAACCGCTTTAGTGACAAGGTATGATGTCCAATTGTCGATTAATGAGACAATATAGAACATATCATCTTTAAAGGAGCCGCATATGTCCATGTGCATTCGCTTCCGTGCTCTAGAGCTATGAGTCTCTATCTGAGCATACGGTAAGTTAAAAGTATGGGTTGCTGATTGGGTAATACGACCAAACGCACCATCGTTGACAATTAACAACCCACTCGATACATATCTCGTAGTTTCAGCATTTCTATAAATTTTCAAGCTCTATCATGGAGAGCGTTCGCTCTTTCATGTTTATAAATACAGTCGAAGATAGATTGTATGCGTGTATCCTCTGCGAATATCGAGCGGCCAAAAATGTCTCGAGTATTCAGCGGTAGGAATGGAATAATGGCTGCAATAAGATCGCTCTCTGTGAGTGGCTGGGATCGTGGAAGGACGGTATAAGCTGGAACCCTACTTAATGGATCTGCGAGATTATGCTCACTTGCAGTATGTTGAACATTAAGTATAATGTTTCATGTTTTGCAAGTATCGTGAAGAGTACGGGTACGTCCTTCCACAATAGCGCTATTCAACCCATAGATTTGGCGCTAGTGTCTGGCATCTTGGCCATATTGTGCCAATTTACGAACTCGGCGTGATGTAGGCAGACGGAATTTGGGTTCCGAGAGATGGAGAAAAGACCATAGAGTCCTTAGCGTGACGTACGGGACTCATAGACGAGTGCGTCACGTCACGAAAGGACGAGCGAAAGTGAGAGAAAGAACGAGATGAGACGATGGTGTCTGATGGACAAAGGATGGGGCTTGGAGAGACAGACGAACTATCGTAGTTCGGCACATTCTCCCGCCAGCGGAAAAATAAAATTGAGCTCGCGACCGATGGTCGCAGATAAATGAAGACTACTGCGTTGGTATGAGGTTATGGAGAGGCTGGAGTAATTCTTTACCCGTTGAGCGCTCCCTTAACCTAAAAGTGTGGCCAGTGGCCTCCAGCACGACGTAGGGGCCACGAGCTAAAGAACCAAGCTTCGACGGCGAAGGGGTCTTCAAGTAAACACAGTCACCCACAGATACTGACTGACCGGAGGGTCCCAATTTTGCGCGTGTCCTCTCGCGTGTATCCTCCCAAAAAGTCTCGCGCCAAGTTAGGAGTATGTCGGCCGCAAGAGGAGAGGCTACCCCGGTCTGATCATGCCGATAGGTGTGGCAGAGATCCCAGGGAGAGATGTCGTGCCAGGTAAGCCTGGTATTGCTCAGAGATACAGCCTCAGCCACCAGGGTTCTCCAATCTAACTTCTCACCTCTGGATCGCAAGATGCGGATATGGTGATTGAGGGGGCCATGGCTCCGTTCCCACTTACCTCCGTAGCGCGGGCTCGAAGGAGGAGCAAATCTTTGGCGAATGTTGCGTTTGATGAGGAAGGCTCGGAAAGCAGCGCTCACATAAGACGACCCTCGGTCGCTGTGGACCGTGTTCGGTTGGCCAGTCCGGGCGAATATACGCCGAGCAGCAGTTATCAGATTCATTGAGTTGGTAGTACCGACGACCTCAGCATCTATAGCACCGGTTAGCAAGTCGGTGGCAACAAGCAGAAATTTGGCTCTGTCGCCGTTTTCCTCGTAGGGACCTGTGTGGTCAAGGCCAATGGAGCGCCAGGGGATGCCATCCACCTTCTTGATACCTGCGGCCTGCTTCAGAGTAGCACGATGTTTATTTTTGATGCAGATCCCACATGACTTGACAATGCGGCTGATACTACGACGGACCCCAGGCCAGTGATAAGAGCTAACAACCTGCTTATAGGTACCTGTGACGCCGGGATGAGCCTTATTGTGAGCGGTCTTAACCAGGAGCATCTGAAGTAGAGTATGGCGCTTGGGAACCACAGCCTGTCTATAGACTCCGCCATCGAGATCCTGTCGACAATGCCTGATGACGATACCGGTAGAGTCAAGCTCTGTGAAGGGCGCTTTGAGGAGAGAACGTGCACCGATGGAGTGTTGTGCATCACGCACAGTGAGTAGGAGTGGAATCAGAGAACCTTCCGAGTCATTTCGAAACTGTTCACCGGCCGATTCTTGCTGCAGTGCTCGTAGTGCACGACGTACAAGTCTCCACAAGTACAGAGTAGTGGGAACTGACAAGGATTCATCCGAGCATGTATCTCCCGAGATCTTGAGGACTGCTTTGCGAACCACGGAGCATTCTGAGAGATGGCCGTCAACGTGCAAGGTGAGGGCGACGAGAGATGGTGTCGCTCCCCCAGAAGCCTCTGTAGGCGAAGCTTTGGAGATAGATGTTGGCACCGGTCGTGGTTGGTAACCCAGAGGTAGTCGATACACGTTCGGCAGGAGTTCTACCGAAGACCGCGGAAGGCCACACAGATCCGAGTAGTAGGATTGTATAAGCGGAAAGAGGTCGTGCTCGATCCCAGATGGTAGAAGACAACGTGATACGTCATCAGCTGGGTTCCACGAGCCCGCCAAATGTGAGATGTAGGTCGCGATACCAGCTTGTTCTAGACGGTGTAAACAGTTGTTGATTGCAACAAGGCGGCGCAAGGTGACTAGGTCCTTCGCGCAGGTAGCCGTCAATGGCAGGCGACGTCGCAAACGCCCAATATTCGCACTGTTATCGGTGAAAACCAGGAGACAATGACAAGGACTGTGATCCAAGGTCTCAGCCAGATGGATGGAAGCCCATAGTAATATTGTAGCTAACGTGTCCAGTTCGAATTTAGGAGCAGCTTTGTTGAGCGTGCCGTCCTGATGTAAGAAACCGCGGGCCGCAATGCGACTACCCATTATAGTAGTGAGAATACCTCCTCCAGCCACGGAGCTCCCATCGACGAAAAGACACGATACGTCTGGGTAGGGATCATCCACATTGCGTAGGATCCTCTGAACGCACAGGTCGATACCTTGCACGGTTCGTTCCCAACGTAGTAGATCCTGTTGTGAAGACGGGTCCAAGTCACCGAAAGGACTCGCTGAAGAGCGCGCGTTACGGATAAGGTGCCTCAACCGCATGTTGTACTCAAGGAAAAACCCTAACGGATCAAAAAGAGACCCGGCGTACTTCTTCAGGGACGTGACGGACCGCACTGCCGACGCCGAGAGCTTGAAATTCGTCTTGACGACAATGGTATCATCTGAAGGTCGCCAGAGTAAACCGAGACAGGGCTGAGGAGTTGTAGGGCGATGTTCGGGCAGAGTCGAGATTAGCTTCTGTGGGTTCTCCTCGAAGTATCTACGCGCTAGGTGAGGGCGAAGCTGCGAGTGTAGCCCACGGAGCTCTTCTTGCTGATCGGCCGCAATGGTTATGTCGTCCATCAGTAGACGAAAGTGCTCTGATGGCATCGTAGCCTCGGCCATGAGACGATCCAGCCCCTCTGCGAGGGCATGGGGGCTGCACGGGCAACCGAACAAGACGCGTAGGAACAAAAATGGAGATTCTCGCCAGAAGAACCCCATGCATCTTTGATCGGCTGGGTCTTCCAATTCCAGCTGTAAAAACGCTTGTCGTAGATCAAGGCTGCTGAAATGCTTGTAGCGACGAATGAGACCGATAGACTGAGTAACACCCTGATCGCAACCCACTGGAAGATGGGGATCGACGATGCCCGACAAGGAAGCTCCGTTGAAGACCGGACGTACTTTCATAGAGCTGCGATGTCCACTGCCAGAATCAGCTTTGTAGACTGGGAAGTGGGAGAGCCAGAACCTCACCTCGTCGATGCGAGCAGGGCGGATGTACCGATTGAGGAGAAACTTTTGTATCTCCCCATCGTATGCATCGTATAAGTTTTGCTTCCGGAGACGGGCTTCAAGGCTTCGGGATCGCAACAGGAACGGCTTGTAGTCATTCTGAGGACGCATAGAGGTCCAGCGGATGCGATGCTTCAGTCGTTCATGCGGCAATTCGGCACATGGCTCCAAAACCGTCGGTTGTTCACTGAGGGAGGTCCCAGGAGATGGGGAGGATACCTCAGCGATATTCATCACAACAGGGGCCTCGTTAGAGAAGATAGTTGACAGGAATTCCTTCGACAGAGTGGGGTCGTCATCTTTCAATGTGTCAGACAGCTGGGAGAGATTGTGAGCCAAGGGAACTCCGGAAGAACTGTTAATCTCAGTTGATCCTCCTGATGAAGCACCCGAGTCTCCCGATGTACACCTTCCAAAGGACTGCAAGAAGGCAGACCAAGCGGTTAGGACTTCCTCATTGGCATTCACGAGAGACAGCAGACGGTCTCCTTCACGATCGAATACCCACACCGTAGGACTTCTGAAGTCTCGAAATAGGGAAGTGCTCCACAAAAAGGGGCGGGATAGACCACGGATAACGACTATCTGAGTGGTGGTGAGTAAGCCTTTGTGGACGTTGATGAGAGAGAGAATCGGGCAGTTGACGATCTGATCACCAGCTGCTACCCTTGCGGTGCAAGAACGACCTGTTTCCTGCTTCCTTCAGAGAGCGTAAACCATCGAGGGAACAAGCATGCATCATAGCCCCTGAGTCTAAAAGACCCGCGAAAGCCGCGGTCCCACCGGTTTCCGTCTGGAAGGATAGGTTTACATGACGCAAAGATGGCGGGACAGACGTATCAGAGGAGAGTGAGGAGCACTCAGAGACCGACAAGGTGTTGCTGAGATCCGAAACAATGACAGTTTCCATTGTTAAAGGTGCTGTTTCCGCGGCGGCTGCTGCAGATACGTGGGACCCTTGTTCTTGCCGAGGAGGTTTAATGCAGTGCGCCGTATGATGGGCTCCCCCACATCTGTCACATTTCACGCTGCCCCTCCACGGACATGCGGAGACGTCAGGGCAGCGTAATTTGGTGCGGTTACAGAGATTGCATCGGTCCGACTTTTGCACAGGGGATGGGGCAGGGCAGGAGATACGAGAACCCTTACAATTAGGGTCCGAATCGAGACATCGTGTGCACCGGATTCGAGGCTTGCTCTGGAACCGACCCTGGCGATTTGAATAATTATTTGGGTGACCGTGGGACGGAGTCTTCAAACTAGTAGCAGATGTACCACTCGAGACGTTACCAGTAGCGGCCAATGTAGAGATGGTCGAGACTTGCTGAATGGGTATGCGAGATAACGGATCTGTGGTAACCGACTCTCGACCGGAACGGAGGGCATCCTCCGAAATCAGACCGTTGATCATGTACTCCAGGTTCGTTCCCGGAGAGGAACGACGAATGCCCAATGCAGCTTCTTTATAAGGTGCCACTAACGATGTTACCAGCAGGTCACAAGCAGATCTGTCTTCCAAGCAGCCATTGGTCCGTTCATAGTCGAGAAGCTTTTGCTGGAAAAGGTCGAGGAAAGAGCACAGGTTTGAGCCAGATTTCATCTTAAGATTCACCAAATTCTGCCAAGCGACGATGCTGTCGGTAGGCTTCGCATAAGTTTCGTACAGAGCAGACGTCAAGCGGTGAACCTCGACCTCGGCCGCCTGGTGGCATCGTGATCCTCTCGGATTGACCTTTTCGCTGACTTTGTCGGAAAGATGACCCACTAACCAATTATAGAGCTCCACCGCGTACCATGCGTGCTGTTTAGCGAGGAGATTACCTTGATGAATAAGTGAGGAGACTGACCGTTTATCGCTGCTCCCTGTGAACTTGGGGTACTCCGGGTAGATTCTAGCTGAACTTTGGAAGGCTTTCCTCTCCACTGCAGAGAAGGACTTATGCAGCTCGTTAGCAGCAGCGGGATAATACACTGGGGATAGGCGAGAGCAGTGAGAAGAAGCGGCTATGTTCGAAGACAGCGCTCCTGGAGTACGGGCAGGGGTAGGCGCAGGGCAGGGTTGCTTGAATGACTCGTGCTCAGCCAATCCACTAGTCGCTCCCAATAACCCTGGTTTAGTGAGGGTTGTACCGGGTGAAGCATGTTCCTGCTTTTCGGGAGGTGCATCTGCTGAGATAGGACCAAATACCAGACCAGGAGGGCAAGACCATTGGGTCTCCTTAGTCAGAAAATTGTAGTAGTAGGCTGGACTCGTAGGAGTCGCAGGTGCTTTCAACCATCCCCCATTCAGAGGAGGAGCAGGAACCGGTGGTGGGGGTGGTGGAGCCGAAGTTAGAACCTCAGAAACGACCGCAGGAAGCTGGGGTAACTCGAAAGAGGTTGATTTGGATATCTTCCCAAGGCTGAGGGGGATGCCGTCGGGTGCTGTCTCCAAGGATACTCTCCAGGAATGAGCTTGTGAGGAGGTTATCCAGATTCCGTAGTAAGTGCGTTGGGGTTCGTCAGCAGAAGCATCTAAGGTGATTCTGTCCCCCAGGTATGGTAGCGACAATAGACTAGGGCTATTGTCAACATGGGACTCTTCGAGAAGGCAACATACCAGACCCGATTGCTCATCGTGCTTGATCACGTGTACCTCATGATAGGCGTCTAGAAGTTTAACAAACCGAGTAGGGTAATCGTCGGACATAGCGTTAGTGTAAGAATCCCGGTAGAAGATGTGCCAATTTACGAACTCGGCGTGATGTAGGCAGACGGAATTTGGGTTCCGAGAGATGGAGAAAAGACCATAGAGTCCTTAGCGTGACGTACGGGACTCATAGACGAGTGCGTCACGTCACGAAAGGACGAGCGAAAGTGAGAGAAAGAACGAGATGAGACGATGGTGTCTGATGGACAAAGGATGGGGCTTGGAGAGACAGACGAACTATCGTAGTTCGGCACAATATAACCAGGGTACGACAGTGAAGTTATTACATTTAACGGTCAATTTGAGTTGACGCTGCAGCTGAAGAGCGGCAAGGTATTTGCTGACTAACTTGCAGACACCGTATATGAGAGCATCTAACTCTGCCAACTTGATATGCCGATTATCACCTAAACGGCGCAATTCTGTTGAATCTCCTATATAAGTTAAGTCAGCAACTATAGCAGTTCCGTAGGCACATTTTGATGCGCTTGTGAATTACGGAATGATTTAAACTTACCAGGGATCTTAATTGGCTCTCGTTGAATCTCGGAGGGCTGAATATTGACTGTAGTCCTCGTAACTTATGAGATGATTGTATAGTAGCCAGACCTACTGGATCAGCTGTTTACGATGTTTCGTTGTACGCGTAGTACGAAGTTTTGGTTTTGAATGCCCAAATTCTGAAGTTCAGCGGGCTACCGATCATTTGGTTTCTTTCCGGCCGTCAGAATTCTGGGCGTGAGTGGGTTGCCTTTACGTATTTCCTGTCCACAGCAACAAGACCGACCTTGTGCCTGTTTCGAAGCTGAGTGAGAGATCATCACCAAGAAGTGCAAGTCCTCATCTGCTAACCTCAAGTTCCTAAGAAAGTGGACTGGTGCGTTCCAGTGGTTCAGCCATTAGCTAGGTGATCAAGATGTTCTCCGCTGTCTCAGTGGTGCCGTGAGGTGTCTGCGGAATAATGATGCTGTGGATGATGAGCAGTGGGACGAAGTGTCTGTTGCTTGATATACCGTATGTCAAGCAACAGACACTTGTATCACATGCGTTCGATCCGTGTTTCATGAGTGGCTTCACACCTTTGTCTTTAGGTCATTGTATAACTAGGTTGATTGTCACAGATTCTAATGTAGCATGGTGGTATGGCGCTATTTTAAGAGTGATGACCTTGGGCTCTGACAATGGTTGCCCAGCTCGATGATATAAAGCAATATCTTGCATACCATCACTATCAACATCACTCAGCCATACCAACTTTCCAGCATTTATCCACCTTCCGAGATAAGGTAGCACCTCACTCGGTAGAGTATTATTACCGAGCTTACGATGCGGTCTCAGTTGAGACCTCACAGCTGCCACAGTTGGCTTCACAATAGCACCAGGGTTGATACCCGTGAATATTTTCTTCTTACCAGTTATACCATTTACACCAACGGATACAACGAAATACTCACTCTTGTAAATATATTCTTGGTGATGCCACTCATTTGGGGTAAGTAATCCAACCATCACCTACGTAATTTTTCATACATATCTCATAGACCTCACGCAGCTTCATTGTTTGTGCTTTAGCAAGAAGATCACTCAGATCCAATGACTGCACCGTATAAACGTTCTCATTCTTACTCTTACATACATACCGTGGGGGTAAAATACTATAGTCCAATATAACCTTATGGAGAATAAGGAAATCAG